CCTCCATTCTCCTTCTCCTTCAACCCCCTCCATTCTCCTTCTCCTTCAACCCCCTCCATTCTCCTTCTCCTTCTACCCCCTCCATTCTCCTTCTCCTTCTACCCCCTCCATTCTCCTTCTCCTTCTACCCCTCACTGTAAATTCTTCCTTTTTTCCATCCCTCCTCCATTCCTGCGTCCATTCCCCCACCCCCATGGTTCCTTCTCCTTCTCCCATCCCCTCCATACCTTCTCCCTCCCCCATTTTCCATCTCCTTCCCCCTGCCACCCTCCTCATCCCTCCCCGTCTATTATCCGTTTTCCCCCCTTCCATTCTCCTTCCTAATCTCGTGAATGATTGTAGGGATCTACTTGTACGATGTTTAAACAGTCCATTTTGCAGTTAGAAACAGTTGACCAGCTGCATTGTCTTTAATTAGAATTTTTCACCTTATTGCCTGATCTCTCTCGCCGTCCATCCACCTTCCACCGCCCCCCCCCGACCCCAGCACATCCGCCATTCCCCCCCAGTGTCCATCTGCCATCCCCCTCCCCTGTCCATTCTCCACTTCTCCCCCTCCCCCGTCCATTCTCCACCTTTTCCCCCATCCATCCCTCATCTGTTCTCCTTCCCCTCACCTGACCGTTCTCCTTCCCCTCACCTGACCGTTCTCCTTCCCCACCCCCGTCCATTTTCCTTCCACCCCCCCACAACACGTGCTTTCTCCTTTCCCTCCAATCCGTTCTCCTACCCACCCTCATTCGTTCTCCTTCCCTCCACCCCACAATTGAGTCCACTCTGTTCCCCTGAGTCTATTTACAAATGGATATGGACTGATTTAGTGAGTTGGCCAGAAATTGACAGATGGGGTTTACTGTAGATAAGTATGACGTTATCTGTTTCAGTCAGAAGAATAGAAACTTATTATCTGAATAGAGAGAAATGTCAGAGTGCTTCAGTGCCGAGCAATCTGGGTGTCCTCGTGCATGAACCCACCTTCTGGGATGTGTTATCCCAAGGCAGGCTTGCGTAGCACCTAACTTGATTGATCTTTCCTAAAAGAGGAAACACTGGGCTGTCTAAGCTGTGGATGAAATCGCTATGATCTCAGTTAAATGCTGCAAGTCAAAAATTTCGGTAATGAAGATAGATTGAAGACATTGGGAGTATTTGCCTTGGAGAGAAGACTAAGCTGTCTTCCCTGAATTAGTGGTTCTGCAATCGAACTGGGTGAACTGGCTGCTGAAAGAGTAACTGAAAAAGACAGTGCTTGTATTTTGGTTCTCCAGATCCCACTGAGCAGCAGCTTCTCCTCCTCAAAGGGGTACACTTACTTTGTTTAAAAGGCCATTCTGTTGTTTAGTTTCAAGTAACATGATGAGCAAAGGGGTAGTCTAGCCATTTTTCTTGCAAACAAGTTCGAACTGCATAACAGGCAGGTGCCTTGTAATTTTGTTTTCAATAATGCTGGAAATCAATCGATGAAATTTATCTATGATATCATAGAAAGAAACTAGCCCATATTTAGAAATCTGATAACCATTATCAGTATTAGCACAGTGGGGTATGTCACTCAAAATCCTAAGTTGATAATGATTAAAAATAGCTTGGAAATATGACCACCCCATAAAACTTTATCGACTGCATTTTTTGTAATTTACAGTAGTGCCCAGAGAATTCAACTCGATTAATGCATTGTACCTTGTTTTCATATGCATGCAACCTCTCAAAGCCCTAGTCAACTAAATTATGACAATGTACTGTTATGATTTAAAAATGTTTGTTATTTTATTCTTGTATGCAACTTTGCAGTGGAAAGTAATGACTTCAGCTGAGAAGAGCAAGACCATGTCAGTAGGACTGCACCATACTCTGCCTCATACAAAGTTACGCAGCACGGGACAAGATGACATGGCTCTAAGTATCAAGTCTATCAGTAGTTCATCGCCTGGCAACATTCATTTTGAAAGTTTCTTCACTGGGATTGATGCTGAGGCTTTGAAGACGGACAGTTCAGTGCCTGCTTCCAAAACAATTGCAAGTGGACAAGGCAGCATTACAATCCCAAGGCCTCATGGTAGGAGGTCAACAGAAAAAGGGATAGTGCTTCCGCCTCCAGTAGCTGTCAGTCGAGGAGTCAAACAGCCAGTATTTCCGGAAGTTAATCAAGTACCAACAGTATTACGGGACAGCTCCAGACAAGATAGAATTGTCTCCGGCACTGGCCCAGCTTCGGAGATGTTACAAGAAACAGTTGGAGTTGAAAAGAAACCTCAAGCACCAGACTTAAACCAATCATTGAATTCATCTCCTCATCTAATGTTAAGTTCATCTGCTGTTGAAATCCTGAAACCTATTAAAATCAGTGCAGAAATGGATAGGAGAAACGATCTTTTAAGTCTTCTGGATCCACTGAGTGCCAGTTCCAGTCTTGATGGGAGCCAATCTCCAGCTCCTAAAAGTTCATTAACACCTGCACTGTTTTTGTCTTCACCTCCGGCTCCTAGTGGTTTCACTCCATCAGGAACTGACCTTGGAATAAGTGCTCCACCTGCCTCCTTACAATTCAGCCAAACACAAGGATATTCAACTCCCAGCCCAGCATCAATCGGTCAATTTCCACAGCCACCGTCTTATCCATTTTCTCAAACAATGCCAGCAGCTCTTCATTTTCCTCCAGGGCAGCCCTCTACAAGCCATTTTGCTCCAACTCCAGCATCTGCTTTTGTTTCAAGCTATCTGCCTTCAAATTCAGGTTTCTTCCAACCCCAAATGCCTCACAGGAACTACTCAGCACCTTCCCTTCACCACTTGTACAGTCAGCCCCCCGCTGTCCCTCCATCTGGTACGTTTATTCAGAAAAGTGCAATTTCAGCCAGCCTCGGAGGTATAAGTTTTGCGAAAACTGCAGGAAAGGCAGGCCTAAGTGTGGCTGATTCCAGTCTAGCGGTGGGTGGCACAACGAAAAATGTGGCTGAGCCACCATTAGTCCCACCAAAGCCGCCCAAAGGTCTTGAAAGAATATTACAATCATCCAATCCTGGCAAGGCTCAAGACCCATTTACCGATTTGCTTAATGCAAGTAAGAAGGAGGCAGCACCATCACAAAGTAGAGTGGACCAGCTCAGGAAAAAATGGGAGACCTTTGAATAAAAATAGCAATTAAAATGTTCCAATAATAGAGTGACAGAAGTAGAGCTTTTCTAAACTGCAGCCTTTGGGTGCCACATGAAAAAGTATCAGGTGTCAAGGGGTGCATTGTATAAATGCTGGTTGAGTCTGGTTTCTCTAGTAAAGAATTATAAAGAATGCATATTGTATCAACAAATGTTATAGTGAGGAGCTACTACACTACATTTCTATGTTCATCAAGCCATTTATCATGACTTGAATGTGATCTGTTCTGTTTGGTGATAAATGTGACTTTTGCAGTAATTTTTCTGTTAAGAAACACTCCAGCAAAATTGCTGAAACTTGGATTGAGGTTGCCTTGTTTTCTTGATTCCTGATGTTTCTTTTTGAAAACTCAATAATGTCATTGATGTTTAAGTCACTTATATTAATGTACTAATATTGCAACTCACCATTTCTCATCATTGAACCTAAACCTTTGCATCATGCTACAGCCATTTAATTCCACAACTCGTAGCTAACAGTGCAGATATTATGTTTGCTACATCTTTCTATCGTGCTCTTGTTGATCCTGTAATATTTTGATAATTATATGGGATACCATGCAATGAATGTTATATTTATCTAAATTTTATCAAACCATTTGAGTTTTCCTACATCACAGAGTAAAATCAATGCCTCCTGAATGCAAACTTCTTTTTGAAACTGTTAATTACGATAAATTATTGTGAAATTAATGTAGATGTACGTGGATGAAACCAAAAAGGAAGCAAAGTAATTCCATACAACACTATAATCATGCATTTCTCTTACAGCTCAATGTTGCTGCTGTAATTCAGTCTTGTTAGTAAAGTATTTACACTGGCTTTGCTGTGGGATAGATGCTATGTCTATTGATTGTGCCTAGGCTAATGGATAATTAGATTTGTTTTAAAAAATTCACAGCTCCATATCTAATGTACAGCTACTACTAGTGGTATTAGTAACAAGCAACTTTGGGTATTAGAAGCATAGACAAGAAATGCATTGCATTCCAACTGGAGCAGAGCTCTTGCAGGTGTTCTATAGTTGGAAATAAATGATGTAAGCCTGTTCTTACCACTAACTGTTCAAACAAAAATACCAGTGCACTGGGCAATGGGAAATCAGAATCTTGTGCTGATGCAGGTCAGTAATCTTCAAATTATAGTAAGTCCTTTCAAGGCACAGAAATGAAATTTTTGATGTGTTAATCAGCTTTTTAACTCATGCAGGCTATGAAGTGCCACATCTTCGTTTGCATCAAGACAGTGTTCTTTAGCTTTTTGCAAATAATTTTGGTGATGATCAGAGGAGAACACCTTTGAACTCCTTCAAATTCTTATAAAAATTATGCTGTATCATCGATCTGACCAGATTTTAGCCACTTCCATTTACTACGGTCAAGTATTATTTTGTTACCATTGTGTCAAACAGTAAAGTTGCCTGAAAGGAAATCTAAAAGTGTAGTCTATACCTGGAATCTCTGTTAACTCATTTCTGATTATATTCATATAAAGATAATTTTGTTGCAGATTGAGAAGAGAAGGTTTGTTAATGTGCTAGAATAGTTTTTATTTTTCTTCCGTCCAACACTTATAAATTTGAAACGGCTTTTCCAGCTGCCGTTCAAGAATCATATCTGACATATTCTGCATTTCGTGAATGGTACACCTAGGTGAAAAGAGATTAAAAATCAAAATTTCCAATTAAGGACAGAGTATATCAAATCCAATTTTACTTCTGTTTTACATTTGTATTTGTTCAGCAAGTTACAGAAACAATGTTGATTAGAAATTAGAAAGGTTTCCTTAGGCCAGCAACCTACTCCTGGTAATTTTGTTATCTTCAATAATAGTCCGAGCTGAACTGAAGTTTAAAAGCCATCAGTAAGGAACATTACGCTTAGTTATACTACACATGAATTATATTCTTGCAAGTAAAGTAATTGATCATGAATGCAGTCGAATTTTCACAAGTATCAGTTCCTAGATTTGATAATAGTGACAAATTCAGTATTTATAAATTATTGTATATTTACGTGTTACAAAGCAACATTCTTGATGTTTATCCTTTCCCCAGTTTGATCACATTAGTTGATAATGTTTCCGATATTGAGTCAGTTTTCATATTTCCTCAGTAAAACTGGATCTGTTGGTATTGTTCCATTGTCCCTTGTGTGTTCCATTAGAACACAATTGCCTTCAAATGCACGCAGTTTTATTAAGCTTGAAAATTTATTCTGCTCCTTGCAGTGCTCTGAGCAGGGGATATCCTGTGCCCAAAAGGAGGGGTCACCCAAATCACATTTCTTCAACAATGTTGTACAAAAGATAACCATGATGTGTACAAATTGCATATTTGCTGACTTTCATTTAGGAACATGCGCGCACACACCCTCACAAATGCACAAAGCCTCTCCTCAGCTGTTTAAAGGTTCAGCAAATGTCATTACATTTCATGACACATTGTTACTCAAATGAGTTCCATTAATTTATAAGATAAGGATCAAAGTAGGTTTGTGATCACTGCTACAACATGATACAGGTATCGTAAAAAAGGCATTTAAACACTTATATTTTCAGTATATTATGTGCATTTGCCTTTCAAAATAAGTTAATTTTCTGATTTATTGAGATTTTAAAGGTGCACTTTTTGAATTGATCATCAAACCCAAGTATTATCCAACTGTTAATTTTGCTTTGCATTTTTAAACAATCTTCCACTAAGTACTTTCACATGCATTACTCAAGAAGCTTGAAACATTAAGTGTTATTTTTGCAATTAATGGTTGCCTAATAATACAAACAGCCAAACCTTTGTTTTAATTTAATTGCCAGGACTTATGAACGAATGAGTTGAGACTTTTGGTAGCATGAAATATTAACTTTTTTTGTCCTGTTGGTAGAACATCCAAATGTTAATAACTAGAAATTATGATACAAAATCACTCTAGGATAAGCTCGCAGATAAGTGCTCAGTGTTTCCTTTTAGTGTTTTACATTGCATATTTTGCACTGGAACATTACATACCAATGACAATAATGGAGATAGCTTAGTTGGCATAGATACTCTGCAATTGTACATTCAGTTTGCCTTCATAGCCAAAATTCTTTCTCATGTATTAGTGCAAAAAATAGTGATGAAAATGTATTGTTTTAGGTTCATGAAATTACAGAAGATTAAGGTGCTACAGTTCAATACTAATGCACATTTTTATTCAGATTATTGTTTATTTCAATCCATGCTTAAAGTGGTTGCATACTAAAGCAAGGAGTCAGTGTGAAAATCTCTTCTCCAACTAAACCTAACTTTAAAAAAAATACTAGAAGTTGATTCTAGATGAATAACTGATTTCAAGGAATTTCTATAAATCCTATAAGATCTGAGGTACTGACACAGGTTGGAATGCTGTAATGATGCAGAATTTAGATGTTTCAAATAGATTTTACATTCTGAATGATGTACAATATACTTTTGGGGAAATCCAGCTTAATTTGTAATTCAGTGTTTTGTGTGATGTTGTATTCATTTCTGTTATTTGTCACATAAACTGTGGTGCACACACTTCCTGGGAATTAGGATTCCTTATTAACTTGTGCCTCAAACATTTGTGGAATGTACAATGCTTTGGTAGTCTGAAGCTGATGTTATATGCAAAATAGTCTCTATGTTACTGAACCTGTTAGATTTATCCTAAGTCAGTAATTCCTTACGTTGATAATAGTGAAGCCCAGGCATTGTACAATATGATGTAGGAGGCCCTAGTGTGTTTTCGAATTCGTTAACGCTTGCACAGTGCTTTTGTAACTTGGCCAAATAAGTTGCTGCTAAATAAGTGTACGGAGTTTCTGAATATATTGTAAAAAATATTTTTGTTACAGCAGTACTTGTCAGGCATGCAGTTTTGTTCTATGCACCTACTTCTGTTTTAATGTATTTGTCAGTGATACCGTGAATGTGTTTTATGCATTGAATTTTAAATTGTGCAGTCAAAATCTTCAAGTTTCCCAAAAGGGTTTACTTCACATATTTAATAACAGCAAAGCAGATTTAATAAGTGACTATGATGGTTTTTCCAGTGAGCTTCAATCCAGACTGACTGCACATATAAGTATATCATCAGTGAATTTCTGCTGGCATTAGCATTAAACAATAACTGATATACCTTTACTTGTAATTGGAGTTATAGTACATCTAGTATTTGTAACTGAGGCCTCAGTGACACTTTAATCTTAACTGCTATTAGCAGTGTTTCCTCAAGTATTATAGAGGGCCCATGGTTTTCATATTTAAGTATCTGTTCTTTTATAGTTGAAGCTTACTGACACTGGTCTCAGTTGAACCTTTCAAATATCCATTCAGGAACATAAAAATATGCCAGGTGTTTAGTATGACCTATTCAAACAAAAAGTATAATTGACGTTATCCCAAAACTGCAAAAGGCAGATTTTTGAAGAATTAGTCAGACTCCTACCCCTGAACTTCAAGAGTTCATGATCTATGGCTATTTTCCCAAAGTTGGCTGTATGTACAGGTTTCTGCATTTTTCTGTCCAAAGACACTGTTGATTTCTGAAGAGAATTCGAATCAAAGATTATATAGATACTGGTTCACTGCACATTTTACTACTAGTAAAAAAAATGTATAGCACAGAAACAGCAGGGCTGAGATTCAGTGCAATAATATTTTTGTTCTGTTATTGGTTCTGACTCATACGACTGTGAACAAATGACTTTTGTAATTAAGATGGTGGAATGGAATTGTAAAGTGACAGAGTGATGCCATGGGACTCGAAAGTAATAAAAGTAATGATTCTCCTGTGTAAACTCTCTCTGTTTTTGCTCCATTATTTATTAAAGGTCTATATTTTACTTCCCCACAGCTGTACTTGTGCAGAAAGTTTAATGACTCTCTTAATTGTTGTCAATCTCGGAAGATACTGCCACAAGAATTTTTTTTTTATTTTCACCTGGCAGTGCTCCAGGTTTGCAGAAACTGTGAAAATTAATACTGGAGACATGTTACTGTCCTGAGGTTCAGTTATTAATGCTCAGCTAAAAACCTAACAAACAAAATTGAGTAAGTTACTAAAAGATTTTCTGCAAAGTCAGCAAAAACCGAGCACCCAATTACCTCGATGGGCTTTGAATATTGCAGCAAATAGGTCCAATTCCAATGGAGCAAAGAGCTAAAACTGCAACAAGAAAACCTCAGACTTCTAAATGCGAGAGTTTTCAAGCATATGTTTTAAGGATTTCAAAAATCCAAATTAAATTTGCCATAACTCCTGTGAAAGTATGAGTTCTTTATGTAACATTTCAATAACTTTTTGTCAAACTTTGTGATTATTTACAAAATTAGTTCACCCTGTTACCAATCCAAGAGAAAACTCAGACTTTTCTGTTTTTGAGCTCAGTTTTACTATTGCCTATCCACTGTGCCAGCCATGACTCAGTAGGTTGCAATCCCACCAATGAGGCAGAAGGTCGAGGTTTCAATTTCCACTCCAGATGTTCAAAGTAAAATCTAGGTCAACACTTCAGTGTTGAGTAGATGGAAGGCTGCACTGTTAAAGGTGTTGGCTTTCAGGAAAAAAATTAAACCAAGAGTGTCCTTTTCCACAAGAGTAAAGTATCTCATCCGAAAGGAAAATCGGATTCCTGGCCAATACCTATCCTTTAATCAACAGTAATTAAGGAAGGTGGTGGCAGCAGTGATCTAGTGGTAATATCACTGGATAAGTAACCAGAGCCCCATGCTCAAGCTCTGCGGCCATGAGTTCAAATCCCACCCTGGGGTGATGCAATTTGATTTCAATAAAAAAAATGTGGAACTGAAAGCTAGCCTAATGGCAACCAATCCGTTGCAGGAAAAATCCATCTAATTGATTAGTGCCCTTTGGGGAAAACATGAGGTACCAACCTGGTCAGGAATAAATACAACTCCAGATCCTCAGTAATGTGTTTGACTCTTAACTGCCCCTTGAAATGACACAGTAATCTGTTCAGTTGTTTCAAACGACTGAAAAGCCAAAAGAAGGGTTTGAAACCAATTGAACCACCTAACAGAGACCCAAGAACTAGAAATGACAGCATAGCGGGAGGCGATAGCCTAGTGGTATTATTGCTGGACTGTTAATACAGGGACCCAGATAACATTCTGGGGACCCGGGTTTGAATCCCACCACGGCAGATGGTGGAATTTGAATTCAATAAAATATCTGGAATTATGAATCTAATGATGACCATGAATCCATTATCGATTGTTAGACAAACCCATCTGGTTCACTAATGTCCTGTAAGGAATAGATCCTTACCTAGCCTAGTGTACATGTGACTCCAGACCCATAGCAATGTGGTTGGCTGAATGGTCGTCTGAGCAATTAGGGATCAGCAATAAATGCTGCCTAACCAGCAATGCCCTCATCTCATTAATGAATAAAGGAAATACATCCTGTACACTCTGCAAAGTCCTCTGCTAAGATTGAGAGAGATGTCCCACGGACTAACCAAGCAAAATTTCTTGCAAACAATGTACCAAACTTCACCATCACCATCTCTGGATATGATCTGTCCCACCAGCAGGACGTACCCATCAGAACTACTACACAATCAGGAAGGAGTCCACAACATCAATTCCTGACCTCATGAAATCTCAAGGTTTCAGGTCAAAAGTAGACGAGTCCACCTCCAGCTGTTCACTACAAAGTCCCCACTCTGTCAGCTGATGAATCAGTACTGTTCCATGTTGAACACCACTAAGAGAAAGCACCAAGTGGGGTAAGGGTGCAGAATCAGCTCTGGATGAGGGACTTCAATGTCTGTCCCCATGACTGTCATAGCAAAGCTGGCTGATTACTGAAGGACTACACGGTGTTTGTGGAGGGAGGTGAGGGAACAAACGAGGGAGAAATCAAAATCTGCCTGAACCTTTACTCACCAAACCACCTGTCACAGATATGTCCATTTCAACCATGTCAGTAGAAGTGACTGTCGTAGACTCCTTGTAGATCTGAAGTTCTGTAGTCACTGAGGTTACTCTCCATTGTGCTGTATGGCTCTATCACCATGTTAAAGGGAACCAACTTCTAAAACACTTAGCAACTTAAACCTGGGCATTCATGAGGCACAGTGGGCCATTAGCAGCAGAATTATATAAAACAAAATCTGTAACCTTATCGCTACAAGATTAGGTCAGAGACTAGGAACCTTGCAACAAGTAATTCGCCTCCTGACTCCCCACTTACTTGGATGGGTGCAGCTGCAACAACGGTCAAGAAGCTTGGCATCATCCAGGAAAAAGCAGCCCACTAGGTTGGCATTACATACACCAGCGTCCACTCCCTTCACTACTGATGCTCAGTAGCAGCAGTGTGTACTGTCTATAAGATGCACTGCAGAAATTCACCAAACCTCCTTAGCATCTTCCAACCCCTCAGCCACTTCCACCTTGAAGGACAAGGACAGGAGATAATTGAAATGCCACCACCTGCAAGTTTCTCTCCAAGCCACTCATCATCCTGACCTGGAATGATATCACTATTCCTCACCACCTTATTAAAATCTTGGAGTTCCCTTCCCAGTAGCACTGTACATGTCTCTACACTGCAAGGACTGCAGAGGTTCAAGAAGGCTGCTCACAATCACTCTCGCTAGGACAACTAGGGATGGACAAAAAAAAGAACTGGCTTGGCCAGTGACTCCCACATCCTACGAAGGAATAGAAAAAAACAGGTATATCCAATTATCATCACATTGCTGGTTATGGAAATTTGTTGTGTGAGAATTCACTTTCACACTTCACTCCATTAAAGACATGTCTACACGCAAAAGCACAGGTGCTGCATTCGGAGTTTGTGAAAGGTGCTATCAAAATGTTGGTGAAGGTAATAGTCAGGATAAGGCAGCCAATGCATTTTGTGGTGGACTAGCAATCCAGAGTTCCTGATTTCACTATGGCAAATCAAGAACCTGTCTACCCCCACCTGGTTTAGCTCACACGTACTCTTATCCTAAGGTCAATTTAAAATTGGTTATCACTATTTAAAGAACAAATGCAGAGGAGATTTATTTATGGAGTAGATAATTACACAGAATCAAATAAACTTTAAACAGCTGCCAAGGCAACTGGTTCACTCTTGTTAAATGCAAAATGACAGCATACAAAATCTGAATGTTCTGTCTGCAAATTTTGACATTTTTGATTCTGAATTCATGTGACGACTCTGCTGCAGGTAATCAGTCACATCAGATAGTCACTCGCAAACCATTTTCATGTTTTGACCTTTATTCCAATGAACACAAGGAAGCTCTTTTAAGAATGTGGCTAACTGATGTCCATTTTAAATGTACAAGGTCTTGTTTGAGAGTATATGAAACATATACTTTTACAGTTAGAAATTCTACAAATCTCAGCCACTGCGCTAACCGTAGCTCAGTTTTACAATCTGCTAACACACAGAACTCATTCTATTCTCCCCATAATGACTTAGGGCTGAATCTATTCTGTTTTCAACGGTGAGTTTTTGTCAGGTTTTATACAGGGTTTATCTCCATGAGGCCCAGTTTGTTTATTCATCACATCTTACCAAATTTACCTGTAACTATTTAAACCCCTCATGCCCATCCCTCTCTTCTGATTCCAGCCCCATTCTGCCACCGTACCTGGAATGACCCATCACTGCCAGGATATCCCGAATGGATTGGCATCCTTGGCATTAGCACCATCTTTAAATGCCCTTTATGTATCTGGTTATGCATTGTTCATCCAGAACTGCCCTGTACAGTTCCTGGTATTTGCCCAGATATGGCATAGAAGGGTAAATTGATGGCCGCCTTCGTAGACAGGGGCCTGGAGGTCCTGTTAGATGGAGTGGTGCAGAATGGAACATCCTCTTCCCCCGGGACCAGAAGAGGACCATAACACCATGCCAGCTTGATTCAAGGTTACCACCTGGGTCAGTGCAGTTTCAACCATCAGGAGGAATGCCCAGCACTGTAGGAAGAAGATTGATGACCTGTGCCACTTGACCAGAGTAAGTGGTAACATTCCTCAAATCCCTCTCCCTCTCGCCCACTCTCTCTCTCTTCCCCATTTCTCGCTCTCTCTCTCGCGTTCTCTCTCTCTCGTGTTCTCTCTTTCTCTTGCTCTCTCTCGCTCGCTCACTCTCTCTATCTCTCTCCTGGCTTTGTGTTAGTGCTAAATGGCCCAGGTCTCCAGGAGTATTGTGAGCCTGGTATCTCTAGAGAAGGCAAGGCAGGGAAGATGTGAGCATCCAGGTGGAATCAAAGTGAATGAGTGCGAAGAAAGTGGCCTGACCTGGTCTAGTCCATGAGCTTGGTTCATAGCCCTGACAACAGTGTTGTCACAGTGAAATTACAATGACAGATGCTGTTGCACCGTGAAGTGCAGAAGCATAGTCTAAGTGGATGAGAGTTGTGTCGGGAGAGTTCTTGGAGGCTGGCCTGTTAATCTACATCCCAGAGTACGAAAGGAAGTGGCACTGGAAATATTTGATGGTTGTCTTCCAATATTCTGTAATTGCTGGAGCATTTCCCACAGATTGGAGGGTGACAAATGTAACCGCACTATTTAAAAAGGGAATCAGAGAAAAAGGAGAATTACAAACCAGTTAGCCTAACATCAGATGTGGGGAAAATACTCAAATCTGTTATAAAAGACATGATAGCAAACACTTAGAAAGTATTAACAGAATTAAATAAAGTCAGTGAGAGTTTGAGAGGCAGATCACACTTAACCAATCTACAGGAGTATTTTTGAAGATGTAACTAGTGGAATAGAAAAGGGTGAACTGGTGGATGTGGTG